AATGTTGTATCTGATGTGCCCTGTCCGGTCCGGCTATTCTAGGGCTTGGGCCTTCAAAAACTGCCTTACAATTAATCAGAATGAAAATTCTGGACGAAGGCCTCGAGAAAGCTCGCAAAACCTCAAAAAGGTCCAGAGATTCAAGCTTTCGAAGTGATTTTTTGTGAATTAATGGATTTTCCTCTTTTTTAGCCGGAATAATAAACTTACCAAATATGGAAAAAGTTGAGTAATTTTTTCATAAAGCCTGACAAAAGCCTCTTATTCCCCTGTGTTTCAAAACACACAGAGGCTTGTGTTGAAGCAGGGTAAAATACGTGTTCAGCACATTCCTTTACATACATTTTTCGTCTTTATTGATGCGATATTCGCTGCGACAGAGTGCTCATTATTTTCCGGACAGACTGAGAATACAATAATAATCAAGTTTACATTACTCTTCTTTTATTACAAAAAAAAATATATTTTACACCTTTCCACAATATTGTTTTTGATAATTTTGATGATTTCCACCAATTTTAAACTCTCCAAAAACACAAACTGTTTGTTAAAACCCTCCAAAATCGCCGTGCATTTGACCTGAACAGCGATTTATCACCGAATATCGCCGGTCTAGACACTCAACAACACATGGAAAGCGGTGTTTTCATTCGAAACGTTCGTCCCTTATCAGCCCGGTTATTAATAAAATCATGAGTCTGCAAGGGCTCGAGGTTGAGTTGAGTGCAACTCGGTGCAACATGGAGATGATATCAGTCCGTATTTCAAGGAAAAACACGGGCCCATTAGCGCGGGGAATTCGGCTTTTCATACTTTAAACTGATTGGGAATGGAGTCGGAATTGATTAAGTTGCCGGTTTGGGGGTTTCACAAGTTTTAAGTGATGTAACAACGGATTGATTACTCTCAGTGTGCGAGAATTTTTTAACTTACAATTAATGGGAAAAAAGTTTAAAATGTTTAACAAGTATCAGTTTTTTGTGGCTTTTTTGGCCCAAAAATTCGAAAAATATCAGTCTGTCGGGAAAATAATGAGCACTCTGTCGCAACGAAAATCGCATCGCCGACGAGAAAATGAATTGTGTCGCGACAAAATCACATTTATTTTCATTTCAGCTATGTGATTGGAGCAGCAAAATTGTGCCCATTATTTTCCCGACAAACTGATCGTCCAGAAAAAACTTGACACAATTTACCATCAGTCTGTCGGGAAAATAGTGAGCACTCTGAAGGAGCGAAAATGGCATCGTCGACGAAAAAAAAGAATTGCCGCGGAAATTCAAATTGCTTTTCATTTAGCGATGTGATTTGCGCAGCGACAGAGTCCTCATTATTTTCCCGACAGACTGATATTAGCTTGACCATAGCTCAGTTCCAAGGTAATTTAGAGTAACCTTTTATAGGTTATATGTGAGACTGCGCTTTGCAGAAACGACCGAGATTTTTTGTTCGAAAGTTGGAAAAAATGTAACAACTTTTTTTGCAAGTTTTGGAACGAAAAGTTCCATAGTAATTTCTACTGCAGCGGGTGATGTTTCCATAAAAAAATCAACTTTTTCCGCATGAAACTGAAAAGACATGGGCAAAAAAATAAAAAAAATCTTCGCTCTGACCGCTCTCCGGCTTTCGCGTACTCTCTTGGCCAAAAAGATCGTTGAATATCTCGACTGTGCCTGCAAATCGTAAGCTAAAATTTTTGGAAATTGGTATGTGGCCTATACAAGGCGTGTGTGCAAAATTTAAAGAAAATCTGAGCGCCTCCCCTGCTGATACTTCCATTTTTTGAAAGGGAGCCAACCGAGGATCCGAAACAGTATGTTGCATATGTTACAACCTGAGATTGCCGCGGTCAAAATTCCGGCTCCGGCTCTTAGCTCCCAGAGCCGGAGCCGAGGCCAAATTTGCAGCTCCGGAACTCTGAGAAGCCTTTGGGCTCGTGGAGCCGGAGCCGCTCAGAGCCGGAGCCAAGAGCCGGCTCCGGAGCCGGGAAATCTCTGGTTACAACTGCCGCCATTATTTTAAAATCACCATCCTCCAAGAGCTTTACATAGTTGGTTTTGTGAGGCTTACTTTGTTTTAACTGCAACAGAAGATTTGGAAACGTGTTTTAACGAGCTTTACATCACATTTGGACCTGGAATGTTGCCCAAATCGCGCGCAAAGCAGGGAAACCGGGCGCAAAGTTGCCTTTATGCGCAGGGCTGCCCGACAGACGGTAGCAGCCGCAGGCTGCGTTAGTCTCGAGCCCTAGTCCTTCAAGAGCTTTACATAGTTGGTTTTGTGAGACTTACTTTGTTTTAACTGCAACAGAAGATTTGGAAACGTGTTTTAATGACCTATACCAACATTTAGTGCTAATGTAAAAAACTCAAAAAACAATGTTTGAATGTCCTCGGAACATCTTATTCATGTTTTTTGACTATAATAAAATTCCAAAAACTAAAACTCTGTTATCTGTTGTAGAAGTTGACCTGAATGATTCGCCCAAAAAAAGTGTAAACCCTTTCGATAAAGGGGTTTCGATAACATTTTTATTGATGAGTATTTTAATGGCGGTTTGGTCACCGAACTACGGCAAAAGTTTAACATCCAACAGTTCGAAAGATCAAAGAGAAAAAGAAAACAATATCATTAATGGCGAGTGTTATCAGTGTTCATTGTGCTAATTTGCAACGAAATATGAACTTTGTTTTTCGGAACAAGCAATTAGTGAATTCTTGTTCAATGAAACGCTTGTTTTCGGACGTCATCCAGATTTTTTCGATTGCATTTTCCAAGCTTTCAATTTTTCATTTTGCGTAACGGGAGAAGAATAACGAAACATCAAATTTTTCCGATCCTAAAAAATCTATGATCACAAGGAAGTGCCTCCGAAAGCTCAGATTTTCTTTAAATTCTGCACAGACGTCGGGTATGGACTAGATATCAATTCCTGAAAGTTTTAGCTCGCGCTTTGCGGGCGCCGCCGAGATATCGAACGATTTTTGCCGCCGAGAGAGCACACTAAACATGGAGACGGGCAGAGAGAAAAACGCTTTTTGGCCATAACTTTGGCAGTTTCGAGCGGAAAAATTTGATTTTTTGTAGAAACATTATCCTTTACGGTAGAAATAGGCATGAAACTTTTCGCGCCGAAATTCGGCAAAAAGTCCTAAATTTTGGCCGACTTTCGATCTAAAAATCTCGGTTCTTTCCGCAAAGCGCGAGCTAGGATTCTCGCATATATCTTAGAAAAAAATATTCTAAATTTGTGCCAAGTTTCATCAAAATCTGAGCGTCGCACTTGGGGTACTTCCCTTGTAAATTAAATTAAGAGCTGAACGTCGCAATTTGAGCACTTCCCTGTGAGTTGAACTTTTTGAACATTACCAGTCTGTCGGGAAAATAACGAGCACTCTGTGGCTGCGCCAATCGCGCCGCTGAAGTGAAAATCAACTTGATTTTGTCGCGACAAAATTCATTTTCTCAGTGGCGATGCGATTTTCGCTGCGACAGAGTGCTCATTATTTTCCCGACAAACTGAGAAATATTATATTTTTCGAATTTTTGGGCCAAAAATAGCCACTAAAAAATTCCAGAAGGAAGTATAATGTGTTATTATTATATTTCGTACCATATTTCAAGCCTCATTCCCCTTGGAAACCTGTGAAAACAAAAAATTTCGTAAAAATTTTTATTCTTTTTTCCCCTCTGTGATTTCGTTATCCGCGTCTATTTTTGGACGGGTTTGGCGGCGCACGAGACCGCGCTCTACGCGTGCTATCGTCGTATGACCGAGAATCACGCACTCATCGATCACTTCCGAACGGTTTGGCGACGAAAAAAAGTGCTTGCCGGAAATGGTAGCCACTCTTTATTACTCATAAACCGAACGCAACTTGCTATTTTCGGCGTGCGGAAGTTGTAAAACGGGCTCGCGGAACAATAACACGAACTTTCGTTGACCTTTTTATGGCGGCTGCAAGAGTTGGGATTGACATTGGCGAGGGTAGTAAAGTCATGTTGTAAATGTCCAAAACACAGGAAAAAGGGGTCGGGAAATAAAAATTTTGAGCTCTGAGGGTTCAAGGACTTCTATTTTATCTTGTTTTTCCAGCAAGAAGAAATTTCGTCATCAAAGGGTTTTTGAAAAGTTTCCAAAAAATCCGTCATCGTGACATGCTAAGATGACGGAATTATGATAAAAATTTCTTAATGGACCTTATTGGCATCTAATAACAACGTGGGTTTCTAATTTTTGATCTTTTTCAATAGTCATTACTACGAAATTTCCAGAAAATCCGTCATCATGACAGGCTTAGATGACGGAATTATGATCTAAATTTTTAATGGACCTATTGGCACCTGATAACTTTGCTTTTCTCAAATTTTCGATCCTTTTTCCTCCCGTATATAGTCATTACTACGAAATTTCCAGAAAATCCGTCATCATGACAGGCTTAGATGACGGAATTATGACAAAAATTTTTTTAATGGACCTATTGGTATCTGATAACAACGTGCTTCTCCAATTTTAGATTTATTCTTTACGTTTCTAGTCATTACTACCAAATTTCCAGAAAATCCGTCATCACAACACGCTTAGATGACGGAATTATAATAAATTTGTTTTAACAGACCTATTAGTATTTGATGACAACTTCCTTTTCATATTTTCGATAACTTTTTTCTCTTTTTATAGTCATTTCTCCCTAATTTCCAAAAAATCCGTCATCATGACATGTTCAAACTAAAGTATAAGCTTGAAATAAAAATGCAAACTTTTTACAATAACTAGCACTCCGTAAGTCCAAGATATCACCTTTTCAGATTCTCATTTCAACTATTTCTCATCAGGATGACGTATTTTCTAGACGACCCTACCAAAATCCCAAAAAATCCAACTTCCAACCGTTACATAACCAAGTTTGTACATTTATTTCAACCATCATTCATAAATATATACAAAATTCTACTCGTATTCGTCGATTTGTGATATAAAACCATAAATTTACACCAATTTACATGATCCAGATCAATTCGTGCGTTTGGATTTCGGGTTTGGACAATTTCCGCGGCTTCCTCGCGGTCTTCGGCGATGGCTGCGTGAGGAGGGCGCGGCAGAAGTTGAGACGTCGCGGCGACAGGGAGGAGAGTTCGCTGGCCGAGACCTGAGATCGCAGGAGTTCGTGGAGAAGGGTTCGGATCTCCGAGATCAGAAGGGATTGAGCCTGGAAACGAAAAAAAAAATATTAAAAACATCGATAATCCAGACTAAATCATCAATTTAAACTTGAATTTAAAAATTTCCGAGAAAAAAGTGGCTATTTTTAGCCATCTGACCTCTAGTGTAATATAAATTTTGATCGGAAAATTGCGAAAAACGGTTTGAATTGAAAGAATAGACTATATTCTTTCTAGTGAGACCATTTTTCCTGGAATAACTTTTAAATTTTGATTAAAATTCAAACTTTTTCATCTGATCTCAAGTGCAATATAAAAACTCACTTCGCATATGCGGCATTGAGCTTGACCGCATTCCTGACTGTCCAACAACACATGACTGTCGTTGTGGAGTTGGTCGAGGGCGTTGAGCTTCTCTTCCAGCTTCAGGGTGATCTGTTCGAGGCCAATGTTGACTCGGGAGTCGATTCCGAACACATCAAACAGCTCGCGACGCGCCTGTCTGCGGTCCATTCTTCCGCTGGTCATAGCACAGAGAATAGCCAGTAAATAACGAGTAATTTGAGACTATGCAGCCGTAGTTTCGAGACTATTTGGCTTCGGAATCGCCAAAAAGTCTGGCCGATATCAAGTGTAATATAAATTAATGTGAAAATCCGAGTGCAAGCCGCAAATTCTTGCAGATGAAGGCTTGCAAATGCAGTTGGATGAGCCGAATGCACTCTGGGCCGGCAAATCCGCTCCAACCGAATAGTAATTCGTGCACAAAATGAAGTTTAAGAACGTCGCCGGAGGGGGTTTTTAATCGCTGGAAAACGCAAACACCGCCCCTTGTTCCCAAAAATAGACGCCTGAAAATGGTGGAGAGAGTCATTGATAACAGGCGAGTATTAATATCGCCGCGAGAAAAAATCGATTCTGCAAAGGGAAAATTGTAAAAAAAAAGTTTGGGGGGAAAGGCGGAAAATCACAAGATTTTCGGTGTTTCGGGTCGGAAAACCTCGGGAAAATGGGATGTATAAGGTGTAAAAATTCATAATCTTTAATTTGCATACCATGATTTTATCTGAAATTGCAATTTTTTAAGAGAAAAATCAAGAATTTTTAGAAATTTTGATGATTTTTCACAAAAAACCTCATTTTTCGCTGAAAAAATCGTTTTCCATAAAAATTTTTAGTTGATTAGAGCAATCTACTATTCCTACTGTAATATAACATCCCAAAATTCGACTTTCCGCTTCGAATTTTTCCAAAAAATCTCAATTTTTTCCAAGCTCATCAAAAAAAATTTTTTGTAATTTCCGCCCAAAAGACAGAGTAAATTTCCACCGTGTCTACGGCGACGTACAAGCCACTGAATGGTAAACACAGCGTCGAAAGATAGTAAACACGACGACTTGCTTTCAAAGAGTAAACATGCAAATAAAACAGTAATAAAGAGCGACGAAAAACTAGATAAATCGTGGAAAGGACGCGAAAGTTTTGGTGTTGCAAAGACCATGGGGTTGGAGTTGAGGTCTTCGAGGGGTGTTATCAGGGTTCATAGGGCGATTGGGGTACTGTAATTAGAGAAATTTTCGAAAAAACGGGACTTTTTCGGGGTTTTTGGGGAAAAACTTGGATTTTTTTGTAAATTAGGGGTTACAAAGTAGTAGTAATCATTTGAAATTGTAGTAGATAGAATGTAAAGTGGTTAGGTGACTTTTGGTTTACCCGGGTTACTGTAATTTTTCAAGATTTTACGAAAAAATTGGATTTTGGTCGATTTTTGAGAGAAAATTGGGATTTTATGAAAAATTAGACCCTATAAAGTGGTAATAACCAACATAGATGAAAGCAGATTGTAGATAGAGCCTTTACCTTACTTTACCACACCTCTAGACCACCTAATCTTACTGTAGTTTCCAGTTATCTCGCAAAAACCCTAAAAATTCCCGTTTTTTGTCGCTTCTGCGTTTATAACCCACTGTAAACCCAATTACTGCCCGATACATTGCCTGTCACACATATATACACCAATTCCACTCGGGTTCCCACCAAAATCTCCGCCCTTCCGCCTCCGGGCGCCATGTGAAAATGAAGGGTTCCCGGGAAAAGGTGCGAAACAAATGAGACGTCAACACTAGCATATGCCGAGCACTGTCGCACCCATCGGCTCCACCCACCAATTCTCGATTAATTAGGCCCTGAGGGGGATTTTGGAAGTTCCGAGTGCAAAAAGTTTGATTTTTTGCGAATTAGTCGGTAGAAAAAGGGGTTTAATTCGAAGATTACGCATTTCCCGAGAGTAATTAAGCGGGTATTTGGGCTGTGTTTAATGTCAGAGGTTGTGACATGCAATGATTTGCGTATGTGAAAAGAATTAAGTGGAAATTTGACAAAAATGTAAAAAAATCGAAGTTTTTTGGTCGAAAATGATGGAATTTTCAATCATTCAAGTTGTAAAATAAAAACTAGAAGCTAGAAAGCCCGTATTTTACCTGGAAAACGCCACAAATACCCTAAAAAATTGATGAAAACTATAAAAATTGATCAAAATCCATAAAAAATGACTAAAAATCAAATTTTGTATTATAAAACTTCCTTCCAGCCCACAATCCGGGTTCACAGACCAAAACCGACGAATATTCTCAAATCCGAACCCATTTCCCACCCCATAATCCCACACATAACAACACTACACCTCCATTTTCCCATCGCACCCCATTGATATCAAGTGTAATATCGGCGGCGCTGAAACGCCGCGAAAAACCGCCTTCGGCCTCGTTCTCAGCCTCCTCGCGGAACGTGAGTGTCAGTTTTATATTCCGAGTGCGACGCCCTTTCGGGAAACACCGGGCTCCGCCCACTTTTTTTGTTTTCCTCCGCCGCACCGTGCAATCGGCCTAATGGTCGGGGAATCGCGGCGGATTATGGCCGGAGACTAATTTTTGGCTGGAAAACATTGTAAATGCGACGATTAGGGGGAATCCGAGGAATTTCAAATCCGCGAGCCCGCTTGCACCGTGCAATGAGGGGAAAATGGGGGTTTCGGAGAGTGCACGGTGCGGATTACGAAGAAATCGGGATTTTTGCACAGTGCGGGAGAAATTGATTGCAAAGTGGGGAGAATCATTTTTAAACGGTTTTCATAGTAAAAAATGTCATAAAAAATTGAAAAATCTAAAAATAATGACCATTTTTGGTCAAAAAACCTTCAAAATCAAAAAAAACTGGACAGTGCCAATTTTGCCCTTAAAATTCAAAATTGGACTGCTTGGACTCCAAAACTTCGAAAAACATTCATCAAGGAAGTGCCATGGCATCTAATTTAGGCCCGACTTTACCATTCATCACATGAAATTGATGACATTTGCCGAGAAACTCCAAAGTTTTCGGTCTTTGACGCCGAAACTGCGGTTAATGGCAGTAATACGTGTGTTCAACGAAGTAGAACCAGAGTTCGGGCCTCAGTTTTGTTGGAGTAATGAGAAAAAACATCATTTGAAGTGATGAGATGAGGTAAATGCTACTCCTTTGGGAATATTTTGGCATTTCTTACAAAGTTTGGTCTTTGCACGGTGCGTAAGGAGGATAATTAATATTTGCACGGTGCGGGGAACAAAAGCCCGCACTTTGCAAGAAGCCTGCACCGTGCAAAAGCGATTTGCTAATTTTGCACTGTGCAGTGAATTTTTTGGACTCAAATTTTGCACGGTGCGAAAAAAAAGTTGCCCGCACAGTGCAGGAAACGCGATGAGCAAAAGTTTTTTTTGCGATGTCGCCAAACTTTGAGACTGCACTGTGCGAAAAAAATTGTCGTGCAAAAACAAAACTGCACTGTGCGACAACCAAATTTCGTCGCAAACGTTGCACTGTGCGACAAAAAAAATTTTTGTCGCAGAAAATTTTAAATTGCACTGTGCAAAAATCAAAATGCACAGTGCGGAAAATTTCAAATTGCACGGTGCAAGAAACGCACTGTGCGAAAAAAAAATTTTTGTCGCAGAAAATTTTAAATTGCACTGTGCAAAAATCAAAATGCACGGTGCGAAAAATCTCAAATTGCACCGTGCAAGAAACGCACTGTGCGAAAAATCCATTTGAGTCGCAGAAAATTTTAAATCGCACAGTGCAAAAATCAAAATGCACGGTGCGGAAAATCTCAAATTGCACCGTGCAAAAATAAAAACGCACGGTGCGAAAAATTCCACCGACCGCACAGTGCAAAGACCAAATCCAAAGTTTCTCTCGCACGGTGCGGTAATACAATCGCGACAAAATATGGTTAGAACTTGGCAATCGCACTCCCACGGACTTGTTTACAAGCGTTAGCTTATTTTAGGTTTTCTTTTTTCGGAGGCTAAACTTATTTCGGAACCGAAATAAGTAAAAAAAAGTGTGTAGGCTGTTTAATTAAGCCAAAGCCCCAGTAAATACCGCTGTTTTTCCCGCATAATTATTTCATTAAAGGGCAGTGGAGAGGCTTGTTTTCCCGGGGATTTATGTGAGATAAACGGCCGGGGGAAACGATCTTGTTTATCCGAGAAGGTCAGGCTGATCTCAAAAATATTTTTCGCGTTATTAAAATTCCAGAGGAAACGTCATTTTTTAAACCGAAAATATTTTCGCACAGTGCGGAGATTTTTTTAAATTTTGCACGGTGCAAAAATTTTTCAATTTTTGCCGCACCGTGCAGCTTTCAAAAAATTTCGCATGTGCAAAAATTTAAAAATTTTTTATTGCACGGTGCGAAAATTAAAAAGTTTTTTTGCACTGTGCAATCTCTCATCTTCCGCACAGTGCAAATTAATCTGCAAATTCTCGCCGCACCGTGCAATTTCCCAATTTTTCCGCACCTTCAAAGAATTTCGCACAGTCAAAAATTAAAAAAAAATTTGCACGGTGCAAAAATTAAAAGTTTTTTGCACCGTGCAATCTCCCTCCATCTTCCGCACAGTGCAGATTATTCTCCAAATTCTCGCCGCACCGTGCAATTTCCCAATATTTGCCGCACTGTGCAGCTTTAAAAAAATTCGCACAGTCAAAAATTAAAAAAACATTTGCACAATGCGAAAATTAAAAAGTTTTTTTGCACCGTGCAATCTCCCTCCATCTCCCGCACAGTGCAAATTATTCTCCAAATTTTCGCCGCACCGTGCAATTTCCCAATTTTTCCGCACTGTGCAACTTTCAAAGAATTTCGCACAGTGCAAATTGTTCTCCAAATTCTCGCCGCACCGTGCAATTTCCCAATTTTTCCGCACAGTGCAAAACAAAACCAACAAACCTCAAAAACCAAAAGTTTCGGAAGTTGCAGTACTCTGTGCTGTGACCACCGTGTCTGACTAATTACGTTTGTTTACCTTTCCCCCCACCGATTCATCGGTCCGGAAGTTTTTTGGAAACCGTTTCCGTCCCGATAACGGCGCAATTTCACGGCCGATTGGACTGACGTAACTCGACCCTGCGACCGAAATTTTCAACCTCAATTAGTCGGAGGGCTGAAAAAAAAATCGGCTGAATACTCAAAT